ATTTAAAAGTCAGAGTAATAAAAAAAGTTAGAGATATATAATTTGATAATTGAATTTTAGTAAGAAATATCAGAGAAATTTCATAAAAATTGTATAGATAACCTTGAAAATTGTCTTGAAGTAGATAAAATTGAGAACTTTCAGATAATAAAATCAAAGTATAAGTCTATTTATTATGATCATGTCAATGATATATCTAGTTAAGAAATTCTAATTAGTAATGATAAAGAATACATTTATCTTAATGATAATCGTTGGGTTGATTTGCTAAGATTAAAAAAATTACAGGGATCTGAATTATAATGGAATGATTCATTTTACCTCATGTATAATGGTAATAATGAATACTAAGATATCCTTTATTATGCATGTAGTACAAACATTATATAATTTGAGAAATATACATAAAAATTTGAAACAATTGAATTGAAAGAAGAAGTTGAAATTAATTCTCCTAGATTAGAAATTCTAAATAAAAATCTTGGTTATTTATTGGTATAAAAAGCTTGTGAAGGAAGAATATTTAGTCTTAAAAATAAAAATTTTATAAATGAAAAATCTGGGCTAATGAAACCAAACTCAGTACTAAATGAAAATAACTAAATTTCAATTAATTCATTTTAAGATGGTAAAATTATTTTATATTTTTAAGATTATGATATAGACAAAATTATCGACTTAAAATTATTCCTATATTTTGATAATCTGCAAATGACAAAGTCTTATTTGAAAGATATCAATTAAAATTCTTGCTTATTATCAGAAGAAAAAGATAAAGATAAAGAATCTAAAATATATATTATGACATTTGGTGCATTCGATGAAAATAATAATATAGAAAAATTCATTTCACTTTTTATTCCTGCTTTTCATTTTAATTTTTATAACAAAATACTCATTAATTCAAGTTAACTACAGAAATTTATAAAAAGAGAGGCAAAAATTATTGGAGGTTTCTAAGTTTATATAACTTATCAAAATTTAATTGATAGTAGAGATATTAATTGTTAGAGCAATGAAAAAATCGTTAAAGAGCTTTAATTAAATGTGGATTAATCCTTAGAGTGTCTAACTAGATTTTAAACAGTTTTTGGAGTATTTTTAAATGATTTAGTTGCTGTAGAAACTATCATTAAATAGCACTCAATGAGTGATAGGCTAAACTTACCTATCCTAATATGTCAGTATCAGCTGCTTATTTGTGACCTATCTTTAGAATTCCCTTTAAGTTTTCATTACAAAAATTGCCAAAAGGCAATGAATCTGATATTAACTATGACTTAAAAATACTAAGTTCATATATTTTTTAGCTAATTGAGTGATAAAAATATATGTGGACTTATCAAATAAAAGTTAGAATTATTAGAATAATTTGCAAGTAATCTTTCTTATTTTGATATCTTTGCCACCTCTTCCAAAAGTTTGCCTTAAGTTAAGTATGATTTGATATCAAGAACAAATTTTAATTGTCCTAAATATGTAAATAAAATGTACGATGAGTTATTTCAAGGAAATTTAAAGCATTAAATAGAAACCTCTGATTCTGTAGTATCATTTGAATATTATTTGATAAAATTTCCCAAAACATTGAACTATAATTCATAAGATTTTATAAAGATGCTTTGTGATTCAGATAGTCCAGATTATTATGAGAATAAAGTCAATCAAAGTAGCATCAATAACTAATGGAATTAATATAGAAAGTTATTGAATTAAAATAGGTCCTACGCTTATTTAATATTTATCACCTCATTTATTTTCAATATTCTTTATTCAACTTATGCTTCAGCTTTAGAAAATGATTTAGATTAAAATATAAGTGATTAGATTAGTGAAATTTTTCAATCAAAGTTTGGACTCAAAGCTTCAGCAAAAACAGCATGTAGTATTTTACTTTTATTTTTCTTGGCATATGAGATAAATTAAATTAAAGTTTAAGGAAATGGATACTTTATTGAAAGATAAAATTACTATGACTTTTTACACATAATGGCTAATGAAAGAAATAGTATTTTAGACCTTACAAATGAAAGCCAAAATAACCTACCCTAAATAAAAATTCTGGTAATAATTTTTTCTTTTATGAGGCTATATTTTTTCCTAAGAATTTATGAAGAAATCAGATTTTTTGTTTAGATGGTGACTAGAATTTTAAGAGATCTGAAATTCTTCTGGATACTGTTTATTATCTTCATCTTGGAGTTTGGAATGAACTTCTTAGTCCAAAACAAGGCTTAGTAAATTTATAAATTCAATGGTGTAAATAAGTTGGCTTAGTTATTGATGATTTTTAGAAATTCATCTACTGACTATCAGCTTGATAATTATCAATGCTAAGCTGATGGATTAGTAATATTTGCCTTGATTATCTGGTTAATAGCAGTCATGACTTTTATTATTGTATTCAAGAATTTTATAATTGCTTTGATTTCAGAATAATATGAAAGTATTATGAATAAATTAATTGTTGAATTATTCAGTGTCAAAGCTCAAATAATTATTTAGAATGAGAATGAGTATCATATTAGTAATATTCAATTGAAATGCATAAAATATTTCAAAGAGTATATTATTGTCATAAAACAATTAAACTCAGAAGTCAATGATGCTGGGTAAAGGTAAATTTTTATCAAATATTTGGTGTATTCTATAAGGACAACTATTACCTAAAACCTTCTCTCAATTTAAACTTTGAAGAATTAGAAGCGAGATAAGGTTATAGTGTACAATTCCTATCAAATTCCTCAAGAAGGTCATGATGTAAAAATTGCTGCATTGAATAAAAATTTTTATCAAGCATAAGAGAAGAGCAGGATTAAACTTGAGAGATAATCTGAAAGATTTTATATGCTTGATGTCCGAGCTAAAGGATTGGATACTAATATCCCAAAAATTCAAGGTTTGGGGCATATAAAGAGTTCCTCAACATAATTACTTCAAAAATATAATCAGAAATAAAGTCGTGAATTTTGAAGTTTAAACCTTAGTCAATAAGACTCAATGCTATAGAAAATTTATTTTTCACGAGCTTTCCACTTATAAGTTATGGTTTTTCAAAACGATTATAAGTGAAGAAATAAATTTATCCCTTAATTTTACTAAATAAATTTATTTCTTAAAACTTTTCATCTTGATATTTTTAATTTTATGTATAAGGGGTTTTGGGGTTTTGGGGTTTTGGGG